GGCTTGGGGCGGATCGGGTGGCGGATGCCGTTGGTGAATGTGTATTGCGTTGGCGGCGGGGGGAAGTAGGTCGGGCGGTGGCTGCTGGAGGCGTAGGGGCCTTCCGACGGGGTGTAGTGCGCTTCCGGGGAGGAGGACAGGTGCGCGACGATGTCGTTCGTCGTGACGGACGCCCCGTCTGCCGGGGGGGACCCGGCGCGGGACGGGATCGGGCGGTTGGCGATGGCGCGCGGGACGTGCAGCGGGCTCGGGGTGAAGATGAAGATGCGCGGGTCGATCTGCCAGAAGCTGCGACGGCTGGTGAAGAGCTCGTCCCAGGCGGAGAGGTCGAGGGGGTTGTCGCCGGCGGAGGAGTCCTCGCTGGCGACCAGGCCCATGCGCTCGAGTTTCTGCACGATGTTGCGGCCCTTGAAGATGCCCTCGCGTCTGATGGCCACGCGCCATTCGCCCTTGGGCTTGCCCTGGTGCGGCGTCGCGGCCGAGGCCTCGTTGTGGAGGTGGGAATCGGGCTGCGGCTCGTGGAAGTACCACCACAGCGTGACCCAGAGCATCATGGCCACTTGGCGCGCGTGCGAGCTGACGGGTTTGTACTCCGTGCTGGGGGGGTCGACGATCGACGAGAGGTACAGACTGTCGCCGCGGAGGGTGGGGGAGGTAAATCGCGTGAAGGACAGATCCTGATCCTTGTCGCTGTGACGACTGCGTGGACGGTCTTCCTTTGCTGAGTGGTGCTCTGCCCGTCTATCCGTCGAGAGGACGACACTCCAGCCCGGAGGAACCATCGGGTTGGTCAATTTCATGTCGTTGGATTTGAACGCGACGCCGCCAAACACCGACGACACGGTGAAGGAGAGGCCATTCGGCAGGTAGCAGATGTGATTCCGCATGGTTAGCTAGAGAATTAGATAGAATGGAAGACAGCGAGAAGAATGGCAATGAAATAAACAGGGGGACGCGACTTGGGGGTTATAAAAGAATAGCAGTGTCAGTGGGGGGAGAAATTTCCATCTAATCAACGGCCGGGTGGGATGATGCTCCACAGCCCCTCAGTTGGCGACGATCCCGAGAAGTTTTCGACGCGTCCGTCACCAGGTGTTTATGGTAGACATGGACTGCTCATGGAGAGTGGCTGTTGGTATCTGCAGTTGTCTGCATGTCCTCTATTACTAGAATCGAGGTAGTTGGGAGGAAAAGAAAGAGAGAAAGAGCGCGTTGATGTCATGCTCGGTGGGCCGATGATTACGTAGTGGGCTGATTGATAACGATTGATTAGGTCTGATCAACAATCAATAAATAACACGCTGTGACTCCAGGATCATGACCCCGTGTACAATACTACAATAAAATACAAAAGAAAAGATAGAAAAAATGTAGAATACAGCTAAAAATCTTCAACCAATGTCCCCACCCCTCTCGCTCCAGCCAGCCGGATGAGATCCCCCCCCGTCACCAAGTCCATCAATCCCATCCCCACGCTCTTGAAGATGACATTCCCCCGTTCGACCCATTCGCGCAGGCTCTTCGCATCGTCGTCATTCTCCGCGCTCGGTCCCTGCGACTGGTACCGCACCATGAGGAGCTCGCCCAGCTCAACCACTTGATGGGGCTGGATCCCCGCCTGGATGATCTCGCCCGCCTCTTTCATCGCCCCCGTGAGACTGTCCACCACCACAACCCCGCTGTGGCGGACGTGCTTGTGGAAATGCCAATGACCCGTCGAGACCTTCACCTCCTCGCGCAGGATTTCCGGGTCCAGCTCTGTCATGTGTGGCTTGTAGGACCCGATCGCGCTGATCAGCCGGCCCCTCTGGCGGCTCTCGCGCGACGTCAGCAGCTCCGCCGGGAACAGCGGTTCCACCGACGGCGTGCAGCAGAAGATGACGTCGGCCTTGCGCAGCGTGTCGTCCAGGACGCGCGCGTACTCCCCAAAGTCGCTGCTGATCGCCGAGAACTTCACCTCCCCGCGCCACTCCGCGTTCTCCGGCGCGTAGATGTCGCGGAGCAGCTGCGCCGCCCGATCAAACGACCGGTTGATGATGAACACACGTCTGATGTCGGCCCCGCGCAGCACGAGCGCCAGTCGAATGTGCCAGTAGGCCTGCTTGCCGGCGCCGAACACCACCACCGAGCGCACCCGCTTGCGCTTGTTGAGCAGCATCGTGGCCGTCAGCGCCGTGCGGAACGGGGTCAGCTCGTGCGCGTTGATCATCCCGAACGGCAGGCTGGAGTCGTCCAGCAGGATCTGGCAGCCCTGCGGCGAGGTGTCGCGGCTCCCGGCGCCCGGCCAGGCCCCCATTGTTCGAGACACCTCCGTCTCCACCGGCTGCTGATTGACACACCCCGCATCGATCGAGTTGCTGCTCGACTGGCTCGTCGACCCGCGCGGATCGCTCGCTCCACCGCCTCCCCGGGAGGAGACGGACAAGTCGCTCACGTCGGACTCCAGCGACGCTATGGACGTCCGGGCCCCCGGTGTCTCAAGGGGCGGCTTTTCTTCCTTCAATGGCTCCGGCCCATCATCCGTCGAACAACCCGCGGTGTCTGCATCTTGCAGGGAGATGACTTTCAACCCCATTGAGTGACCCGTGCTCGCCGGCATGAACAGGGTCGTACAGCCATTTTGTCGGGTGATCGCAGTCCGTCGCGGCTGGTAGGCGGCGGAACAGCCGGAATCTTGGTTTCCGATGGAGTAGTCTCGGAGGGCAAGGGCGAGGTTTCGCTGTAAGGCGAAGACCTCATCGCGGGTGAGTGAGAGCAGCAGGGAGCGGAGCTGCGTTTGCGAGAGGATGGTCAATGGCATTAGGATAGAGGGGAGATCAGCATCAGGTTGTTAACATGAGAAGAAAAAACAATTTAATAGGTTGAAAGCTCAGAAACGACAAAATGTTCAATTGAAGCTCGAAGGAGAGAGAGTGACAGTTCCGAAGTTGGAATGAGGGGAAGAAAGCAGGTCAGAGAGTGGGGTGAACCCGAGTAGGTAAACACGGTTGCAGCCAACTTCGCCACGCCACTTACCCACCCAAGTTAATCGAGAGAATGTGTACTAAAGCTCCTTATGGTATGGATTGATTTACGAAATAACATGCAATGTGATGTCGAAGCACCAAGTGCCAGCACTACCCAAATAATTAAACCATCCTAGACACCTAATCATACCCAAAAAAGCAGACACATCCATGAACCACCCCAGTGTAGATAAGAAGAACAGAAAGTCAAAATCACCCCCACACATCCTTGTCATCCTGAACAATGTCATTCTCGTCCAAAACCCGCAGCCCATTGTCCTTGGCCTCGCGCTTACGCTGCCGCTTGGTCACCATGCGACTCGGAGTGAGCGGCGTCACGGGCGTGAAGGGCATGTAAGGACTGTAGGGCGTCGGCATGCCCGTCCGCGGGCCGTTCAACGGCTTCACGGGACGTTCCAGGACCGTCGTCTTGGTAGCGGGGGCGCTCTGTAGTGGGAACGCATCCCGGAAGGGCAATGATGACGGCTTACCATGCCCCGCAGTCGACAGGCTCAGCGGTGCGGGCGCCGGCGCCCGACTGGCCCCGGCGACCTTCTCGACCGGAGCGCGATTGGCCCGCGCGGGGGGCACAGGAGGGGGCGGTGGATGGTAGATCCGCGGGGTCAGCGGCGGCTGTTCCTCGCCGTACGAATCGGTCACGGTCACATCGGGAGATGCCAAGGGAGAGGAGATGGACATTTTTCGAAGGTTGAATCGCGGCGACCGGAGAAGCTTGCTGCTGTTGGCCGGGGTCTTTGAACTGGCATTGGGGTGGGATTGAGAGTTGGAGTTTGAATTGAACAAGGAGAGCGACGAGATCCTAGACAGACGGGAATTGGATCGTGGACTCGTCGGGGATTTCATGGGCGCAAACGACGGCCCCTCGGACACCCTAGACGATCGGTCGCTGAATGGGCTGGTATAGACCGTATCGGGGGATTGGATTTCCTTCTCGTCTCGGCCCGTCTCCATCGCCAATTCCTTGCGGGCGTCGTGCTCCATGACCGCGGCATACAGCATCTCCATCTCCTCCTGTGCCCTGCGGCGGTCGGAGGCCAGCACCGACTCATCAATGGTGGCTGCACTTCCATTGCCCGCCATGTGGGAGTGCGGGTCTTTGCCCAGACTACTCCACGACTGATTGAAGGAATGCGTCCTATTCGGACTAGGAAGGGCGGCAGAGAGCGGAGTGACCGGACTCGGGTCCAGGCTCACGGGAGGTTTGACAGGCTTCATCATCTCCACGTGCAGGCTATAGTTGGAGGCCTGCACCGCCCGTCGCAGACGGCGTCCCACCAAAAGCAACAGACTCAGAAGGATCGCAACAAAGATCACGTATGCCCCGACGATACCGCCGATTTGGATGGCCAACAGGGATTCATCCAACGGAACCGCGGTCGAGAGATCCTCCGCACGGCGGTTCAGCTCGGACACGACACTCGAATACTCCTGGAATACTGAACCAGCAGCAACAGGAGAGAGAATGATGAGTATAGGCAGGAGACACATGGGTATCATGATATGGAAGCCGCCGACCCAGAGTGATTAAGTAGGGACAAAGGGCATCTCGAGAGTTGGGAATAAGAGCGAGATTGGCACATCCCATGCAGAACGAGGTAGCGTCACACACATATTTCCGGCGAGGAGGGGTGGGCAGAGGTGATATACCCTGGAGTCATGACCACTGATTGGATGTGATAGTGTGAAGAAGCCGGGGGTGGAGGTCCAGGAGTTGGAGAGGGATCGAGAGATGTCGCTCTTGTCTCATCGTTGGTTGTTTTAAGCGCCGAGGCTGCAGGGCTGGATGGCCATCACATTAGCCATGAGCCAGTTACATCTCTTGAGGTTTGCTTTACGGAACATCACCCTATACACTCTTGGGGATGCTAGGTATCACATTGGAACAAGAAAAAAAAAAACATATTAATAATAGAACATAAAATCAAATGGATAAAAAAACTCCCCACGTATTGTAGGTGGGAGAGAGAAAAAAGATGGACTCGCCGGGAATCGAACCCGGGACCTCTCCAATGCGAATGGAGCGTCATACCCCTAAACCACAAGCCCATTTGATTGATAAGCAACTACATTTCATGATAAATAACCTACCCCAAGTACTTATCTCAAAGTTTTCTTTGACATCAATCACACGTCCTGGATGGTTCTATGTCGACTAACTTTGTTGGAATTAAGTGTTGTAACTACGGAGTCCTCTTTGTTCAGTTTCTATCTGTCCTCGGCTATCATTATTTGACAGCATTAACAAAAAACAATGACTGCTTTGAAATAGTTTTGGTATACGCATAGGCTACAGTGGTTCACTATATATATATTCTGGCAAATAATTTGATCCAATTCCTGATGTTGATTCGGTCAGAATAGCTTGCTTACTGCCTCAAAGTATGTCATTATGCATTCTATGGTATGCTTATAATGGTTATTCACCGACCGATCACTATAGTATGGCCATCTATATGTCTAATTGTATACATCTAGTTTCCAACAACCAAGAGATTCCCATGAAAAGCACATATAAAGAGGAATATGGATATACAGAGTTACTCGTCTAGCCTGAGTAGTAGATTCAGTTAAGGCACAACTGCCTGACTGAGGCATACAACTCCCCTCCAACCTCTCTACACACTCTTCTATTCGACTCCTCACTCAATCACATCTATCTACTCTTGCTGATCATCTCGCACACTGAACACAACCAACCGCATCCTCTGCCTACCCCAACACCATCAAGATGAACCTCAAAGTCCTCCTCCTCACTGCCCTCATTGGCCTCGCCAATGCAGATGCTCCTGCTGTTCTCAACGGTCTGGGAGCTGTTGAAGGAGACCTCAGTTCCCTGGACCAAGCCATCAAGGCCACAGATGACCGCCTCAGGTCCTTGCTGACCGTCATCCACTACGAAGGCGTCCTGGAAACTGACGTCCAATTGACCACCTTCCATGTCTGGGACTCACCTCGCTTCGACGACCCAGACAGCGAAGCTGTCACCGAAGCAGCCATGAAGATAAAGCCTGCCATTGAGGGTTATCTCAAGAATGCCGTTGCCAAGGTATGCAAATTACTGTCTCCCACCGACTGAAGATCATCCTAACTGGAGTAGAAATCCGTCTTCGAACATCTCAGCTACCACGAGATCATCGTCGCCAGCATCCGGTTCCTCCAGGCGAACACCGATAGATTGGGACAGGCACTGCAAGATAAGGTCGACGAGGCCAAATCCAAAGCCATTAAGGAGTGCAGTGATAAGTTGAACGACTCCTTTGCCCAGGCTATAGCTGCGCTCGACCCGGTGGAGTGGATCGCTCGTGTCTAGTCAAGATGAGGAGTCCCATTTCCCTCCCCAGTCAGGCCATGACAAACTGGGCGAGGTTGACATTGAGGTGTTGTGTGTATTCGTTATGATAACAGGCTTTGTCAGTGGTGACTTGCCTTGCCATGTTCTGTTTTAATAGTCTGACTGCCGTGAGACCTACAAAGTTCTTTCAATATCGAGCATCTGGTAGTGTAAAAGACCGTCCGCGTTTTCCATAGTCACTACAGTTTGAATCCTGCCTTCCTAAGTCTTGGTGTATCGTACAAGCCAAATTAAGGCAGGTACCTAGACACGTACAAGCTCGTCGTTTCCTGGTAGTACAATCAGCCTCCACCCAAGGCCATACTTCGACTCAAGAATACAAAGAATTGGCAGCTGAGACAGACAGTTACCACCCATCTGCATCTCTAAAATCTAATGATACACTTGCCACTCTTTACTGAAACCAACACATCTCACAGCATATCTATACCAGGTGCCATATCATTCCCCGCTATCCAACTCTCCTAAAACCGAACCCCTAATCCACCTAGAAAAAGAACGAAAATTAGAATGAACTTGAACCCGACAATCACATTCAAAATTCTCCAACAACCAACAAGGTGCACTCCCAGAATCCTACCAACACAAACCCCCCCACCATCACTGGGCACCGGACCGGCCCGCGCAGCCACATATAAGCCGCCGGGGACCCCGAGGCTGCTCCCCCTCCAGTTCAACGTCCACTGGATCAACCTATGCATACTCCTCTTCGGAGCCCAAGAGCAATTCTCGAAGCCCCGCCAAAAGCGACGACAATGCGAGAAGCTCCTCGCGTCCGAAGAAGTGCGCTCCCACAACGCCGTGGACGTCTTGAAGGAGATAAGCTGCGCGGTCATCTTCTCTGCTATGCATATGACACTCGGCGTCGCCTTCGCTATCGTGGCCATTATTCTCTGGAATTCTCTTGGAACCCAGTATCCGGGAAAAGATGTGTTTTGGATTGAGGTTCTTGCGGGGTATTATATGATGGGGTTGTTTATCAAGGGGTTGTCTGATATTTATGTGCTTTGCTTGCATTGGCGCTTTATTAGGCATATGTTGGATGAGGAGGTGGCAGCGCGACGGGTGCATGAGGACTGACTGGTGTGGGGGTTCTTGGATCTCTATTTCTTCCTCCTTTCATTTTTTGTGGTAGGGGATAGACTGAAGTAACTGGCTTGTTGCTCGTTGCCGTCCTCTGTATTACTATGGTGTATTTATACCACGACTGACTGTTTCTGCGAGATCGGGTGTCTAGATAGGATACTGTGAATTCAGACCGAATGCGGAAATGCAGTCTACTTGTTGGATATAGCCATGGTCGATGTCATATCAACTCGCCGTAGATAACACCACACTATGCAATAATAACCGCCAATAATGTACACACTATATACAACTTTTCCACGACACATGTTCAACTCCGACCCTTCTTTCCCGAGAACCAATCCCGCAGAAGATCCTTAACCCCATACCCCTTAGAAGCATCTTCATCATAAACCTGAGCCGTCTGCGTCGTACCCAGCGATTCCAGAATCCCAGCCGCCCGAGGACCCGACGATACCGGACCGCGGGCTTTCTCCAGCGCCCGTCGCTTGATCTCCCCAGCCAGACTCGGCGCAACCTCCGCGTAGCATGCGCTAAGCTCTCGGTCGAGATTGAGATACGGCTTTCGCGAGACGGGCGGCGCTTGCAGATTGTATGTGCGGGTGGCGTCGTTGAGGGTCTTGATTGTGAGTTCGTGGTAGGGTCGCTCGATGGCGAGGTAGTGCGGGTCGCGGAGGGGTTCCACATGGGGTAGTTGGGCGTCCTTTTCTTCGGTTGTTGGTGGGGATGCTGTTTCTGATTGAGGGGTGTCTTGTTTGGTTTCGGTGGTGGAGGGGGATGAGGAAGAAGAAGAAGAAGGAGTCTTGGTGTCATCATCGTCACGGAATGACTTGGCAATGGCAGCTCGCTCTGCTAGTCGGGCTTCGGCAGCGGCGTATGCGTCGGCACGTCTCATCTGAGCATCCAGCGTGCCGCCCTTGCTGGCGATTAAACGGGCGGCGTGACGCCGCCACTCAACCCTGATGCGCTGGCGGAACCGATCAACGTCCTTTGCCAGCTCCTGCTGCTTTTCGATCCACGGTGGCACGAGCTCCTGTTTCTGGATCATCTTGTTCATGAAGTATTCAGTGGTGTCGATGTATGCGCTGTTGGCGTTGTGGTCGGTCTGGGTGTTGACGCCGCGGCCCCTCTTGATCGAGCGGAACTGGCCCCGCTTGATGGCGTCCTCGATTTGCTCGTTCGCCAGCGACGCCAGCCCCTGGATGGACATGGGCATCGGGCGAGCCCCGGGCGTAAACCGCTCCTGCATCTCCTTCCGCATAGCCTGGCGCTCCTGCTCTGACACCCCCGGGCTCTGGCTCAAGCTGTACGTGCCGATCTGGTCTTTGGCGTGAGCGAGACGGTGGCCGGGCGACAGTTTTGGCTTGGGCTTAATGCGCATGTCGACGGGGTTGGTCTGGACGGGACTGGGGATCTTGTAGGGCGTGCGTATCGGCTTCCTCGCGCTGTCGTCTAGCATGCGGAGGGCGGAATCGTGCATACTCTCCGTTCCTGTCCAGGCTTCGCCAAGGGCTGTGGCCCGAGTGCCTTCTCCTGCGCTCTCGGGCATATCGAGGATCGAGTGGGCTGCCGGGTACTCGTTTTTGAACGCAGTGGCGGCGACTCTTTCTTCCAGCTGTTTCTTCAGCTCGTCCGAGAACCCCGCCTGTTCTATGTTCTTGCGCGCGGATTTCCCTCCTTCCAGGACGGCCTGCTCGGCCATTTCAGACAGTCTCCGCGCCATCGCACCTTGCTCCTCCGTTCCATTCTCCGCCTTTGTAGGTTCATGGGCGTCATTGTCCCCGTTGGCCCTGGGGGCCCTGTTTTGCCTCCGGCTTACTGCGGAGAAAGCCCTCGTGTATTGTGGGGGCGCATGGTTGACGTTAAGCGCTGTCACCAGCTTCCTGCTCATGTCGCTTTGAATAAACAATCTGCGTGTACCAATTTAAGAACGTCCGTCCAGCGTGGCGATAGAAACTCCAGAAGTGCAACTCACGCGCTTATCGGCGATAACAAAAGTTGCCGGCCTTAGCCCTCAGGTTTTAAAGACACATTAGTCAGGGTTTATGTCAGCTTCCGCGGGCAATTCCTGGTCTTGGCATCTCCGAAGTTGTTTCCTGCGGACTTTTGGAATTCCGTTTCGGCGACTCTGTTAGACCCTCTGTCCCGCATCGCTGCTTGCTCGAGTCTCCAGCGCAATCGCTTTGACTGGTACCGTTCTCGACGCTAGGCGATAGGTTATATCTGTTCATTCTCGCCAACATGCCTCCGAAAGGCGCCACGACCACTCTCAACCCGATCCGTCTGCAGACCATCAATCACCTGCGAGTCCGTCGTCCGAACAAACATGATTTGAATCCCTGCCAGGCTATCATGTCGTCGATGCTGAGTATGCTCTCCCTGTTTTACCAAAGATGGGAGGAATACAATTGGCAATGGTTGCGGATGGTGGTCGACTCCGTGCTGGAGAACAGGACATTCGACCTATGCCTGAGGACCAATTAAGTTGAATGGATGGCTTACACTTTGTCTTTACAGGTTGCTGGGCGTCTTCCGGGTACACCGTTGAGGGCTGTGGCGCTCTCGAGCAGCAACTTCGGCAATGTATGGACGAAAAGGTACGTGATGG